CAGCACACGTGATTTCCAGTTAGCTTCTTAGCTTAGCCTCCTTCACACCAACAACACACACATGCTTCAGCAGAGGCCACGCCTCCTGCAAGAAATCAATTCTCWATGCAGCAAGTCCAGACCCTTGAAAATGCAAAGTGAAGGACAGGGTCTGGTTTAAACCAGGTTAGATTCACACTGAAGGCATCAAAACTAGAATTAACACATGGAATTATATACTTAGCAGAAAGTGTGAAATAACTGAAAATATGTCATGTATTTTAAGTTCTTCAAAGTAGCTACCTTTTGCTTTGATTACTTCAGACACTCTTGGCATTTTCTTGATGAGCTTCAAGAGGTAGTCACTTGAAATGGTTTTCACTTCACAGGTGTGCCCTGTCAGGTTTAATAAGTGGGATTTCTTGCCTTATAAATGGGGTTAGGACCATCAGTTGTGTTGTGCAGAAGGTGGATACAGTACACAGCTGATACTCCTACTGAAGAGACTGTTAGAATTTGTATAATGACAAGAAAAAAGCAGCTAAGTAAAGAAAAACGAGTGGCCATCATTACTTTAAGAAACGGAGGTCAGTCAGTCTGAAAAATTGTGAAAACTTTGAAAGTGTCCCCAAGTGCAGTCACAAAAAACATCAAGCGCTACAAAGAAACTGGCTCACATGAGGACCGCCCCAGGAAAGGAAGACCAAGAGTCACCTCTGCTGCAGATGGTAAGTTCATCTGAGTCACCAGCCTCAGAAATGACAGGTTAACAAGAGCTCAGAGTAGAGAACAGATCAATGCCACACAGAGTTCTAGCAGYAGACACATCTCTAGAACAACTGATAAGAGGAGACTGTGTGAATCAGGCCTTCATGGTAAAACAGCTGCTAGGAAACCACTGCAAAGGACAGGCAACAAGCAGAAGAGACTTGTTTGGGCTAAAGAACACAAGGAATAGACATTAGACCAGTGGAAATCTGTGCTTTGGTCTGATGAGTCCAAATTTGAGATCTTTGGTTCCAAACACCGTGTCTTTGTGCGACACAGAAAAAGGTCAACGCATGGACTCTTCATGCCTGGTTCCCACCATGAAGCATGGAGGAGGAGGTGTGATGGTGTGGGAGTGCTTTGCTGGTGACACTGTTGGGGATGTATTCAAAAYTGAAGGCACACTGAACCAGCTTGGCTACCACAGCATCTTGCAGCAGCATGCTATTCCATCCAGTTTGCGTTTAGTTGGACCATCATTTATTTTTCAACAGGACAATGACGCCAAACACACCTCCAGGCTGTGTAAGGGCTATTTGACCAAGAAGGAGAGTGATGGGGTGCTGCACTAGATGACCTGGCCTCCACAGTCACCGGACCTGAACCCAGTCGAGATGGTTTGGGCTGAGCTGGACCGCAGAGTGAAGGCAAAAGGGCCAACAAGTGCTAAGCATCTGGATACTCCTTAAAGACTGTTGGAAGACCATTTCTGGTGACTACCTCTTGAAGCTTATCAAGAGAATGACAAGAGTGTGTGAAGCAGTAATCAAAGCAAAAGGTGGCCACTTTGAAGAACCTAGAATATGACATATTTACAGCTGTTTCACACTTTTTTGTTCAGTTAATAATTCCACATGTGTTAATTCATAGTTTTGATGCCTTTAGTGTGAATCTACAATTCTCATAGTCACGAAAATAAAGAAAACTCTTTGAATGAGAAGGTGTGTCTGAACTGTAGATAGGATGTAATTATCACACACTGGGCCTCATGCAAGAACATTTTCATATTCTTATCTTAAATTTCTCTTACTTTTGTTCGTACGAACATGCCACGTCAGATTCAACAAGCTCTTTTATCTTCAGGAAAAGTGTGTAAATGAGCTGCGTCAACTGATGAATGCGTAACCAGGTGCTCGTGCACGAGGAGAGATTAGTATAATTACCACCCCAAAAACACCATATGAGGCTACACGTTTCCTGCCCCACATACCAGGAAGTGTCCATTTATAAATGACATCGCAAAGTAAAAAGAAGAACTTGACGAGTTCAGAGATTGAAGTCCTGCTCTCAGAGATCCAGAAAAGAAAATCTGTCATTTTTAGCAGTGTCAGGTGTGGAATTAAAGAGCTGCTAAAGCAGAGGAATGAAATGACTGCTGTTAATGTGTCTCCCGTGGATCGTGTACAGTCAGTTAAATAAAAATCTAAATCATATTCATCTCTCTCTCGTCCTGCTCCGGTTTTCCTTTGGTCAAATATTTTTAATTCAAGTGTAAACAACTGTGTTAAATAATTTTCATTTACTCAGAAAAAGAGCAGTCATGCACCGCCCCGGCCCGTCTCCCCCACCATCGCAAGTGTCAGATTGGTTAGTAGTAGTTTGAGATCTTCGTATTAATAATTAGATCAGGGAGACACCTAAAACATGCAGGAAAGGAGTCCTTGAGTTCTAAACCAGGGTTTAGAACCACTGTTTAATACTTATCTGATTTATTATTTACAAATAAATGGTGTTGTGGAAATATTCCACCAGGCAGAGATACGGGAATAAACAAAGTTAAAACTGTGTGGTCTGGTCTTTAGATTATTTAATAGAAAGGTGCATATATGCAAAGATTGAGTGGCCACTGTGACAGAGAGGAATCAGCAGCTCAGTCAAGTTACCACTCACTTGGAAACAGGAAACAGWCAATATATAMACATCCGGTGCGGTTCGTAGGCAGCCAATCACAGGATGACAAATGTTAACAGAGAACCAATGACAAACCGACAAACTGGTACTGAGCACTTCAGAATAAGAGCAAGGTTACAGACATCATGGAATCATGAGAAAACAGATTATAAAATGACAGTTATCAAAGAGATACAGAACAGGACATGTCAA